GAAGAGCTGTTAACGGCCGACACGTCTCCACGCGGCCTGGGCCTGCGCTGGGGCTCTTCTAAGCGAAACGTTACCGCCCATCCTCGCTTGCTCCACAGCATCGTTTGTTTTGTATTATTTGCCCCACAGTGGCGCGTATTGGACTCCCCTCTGCAAGGAGCTGGATGACGGCAGGCTGCTCTCGGCACATTTGACTTGTGGTCATCCAAGTGACATACACACAGCACACGCTCCGAGACTCTTACTGTTCATGAGCACTCCAAGAGTAGCAATGTCATTAAAAAAAAAAAAAACACATTTTCTCTCTCTGGTTAGCAATCTGTGCTTCTCTTCTGAGGAGTTTGCATTCGAATCACAGAGGTGTTTGTTTACGACAGAAAATCTTTGCTAAAACCAAATGCCCTTCTATCAAGTTCAACGAGAAGCATCAGCAGGCCACCACAGACACCGGCACGAATGACTGCAGCTCCCTTACTGCATGTATCAGCAATAAAACAGTCCTGCCCAGCTTTTAGAGCCTCTCTAGCAAGAAAATCACCTGCAATGCTCCCTGCAGTTGTACAGCTGGCAGCAGAAGAGGCTCTTTGAAGAGAGCTCTCAGATCCGAAATGCGACAGAGCTGATTTCTGTTTATTTATAGGATCTTTCTGAGGGTTGAGTGAGGAAGACTAATAGAAAAAAAGATGATCAGGGAAAATAGCTTTCCCCCTCCCTTCTATAAGCCTTTAACAGCATTATCTCTTTTGATATAGGTTCTTAGCAAAATTTACAGAAGAGCTTATCTTTAGATAACACTAAAATTGATTTGGTTCTTAACATATCATCTGCTGGTTTTTTTTTTCTGCCTCAAAAACCTCAAAAAAAAAAGGCTGATGATTGAAATTAGACCATTTATTTGCCTTTTGCACATTTGCTTTAAGGAACTTTCTTCTCCTCACTGTCAATTTCATTCCTCGTAGGCACAAAATTGTTGGCCAAATTAATCAGGAGCAAGTTAGTGCTCCAACTAACTTAAAATATTTTAGTGAACTGCAGAATTTCAGTGTGAGCATTTCTGTTTGGCTTGTACCTTTTTTTCTCTCCCCTCCTTTATTTGTAGATAGGCTTAGAAGTGAGGATTTGGTTCGTACAAAAGCTCATACAGTGAGTGCTTAAAAGTACCATTGGCTCTGAGACGGTAATCAGAAAGCAGGCTAGAACAGAGAACCAGGCATGGTGCTCTTAGAAATGAGAAAGTAACTAAAAAAATACAACAGGAATTTTTATTTTGATGCATAGTAACTTAAGGAAACAATGGGATGGAGGCCCTGAAAATGTAAAGTAATAAACTAAGAAGAAACATGTACTCTTTTTTTGAGGGGGGGGAGAAGACAAAAGTGACTCAGCAACAAGTTTATAGTTAAGCAGAGCTAAGAGCTCTTTCCTTCTTTTAAAAAAAGACATTTTATGGGAACAGAAAATTCTTTTAAAGATTTTACAGACCTGAGAAAGGAGGAAATGTTTCTAGTCATGAAAAAAGAGTGTATTTTATTCTAAAATGAATAAAAATTATTAAAGAGGTAAATTTCCACTTAGGAAAGGGGCTCTCAGTAACAACCAAAATTCAACAGTTATCTTGCCTAAAACCATTTCTAGTCACAGAAATTATTGCATGGCGGACGCTCAAAGCACTGCTGCTTCTGAAGGACTCCTGAGCATTAATTCCCACCATCCTCGCCTTGGGGTGTTTGCAGGCGGCGTTTTTCCTGTCAGTCCCGTTACATAAATCCCGGGAGAAGCCCCGCACCGTCCGCGTGTCCCTGGGGAGGAGACGGGGCCCCG